AGGTGAAGCGAGGCCGCTAAGGGCGGCTGGGGATGATGCCTATTTCAGAGTGTCCTGTGACAGTAATGGGGACCTGAAGGGCAGGGCTGTTACTCAGGACTGCTCCTCTCCTGATTCTCTCGCTGTCTTCTCAGATGAGCTGCTGCAGGCTGGCTGGGAGAAGTGCTGGAGCAAGCGGGAGAATCGCCCTTACTACTTCAATCGCTTCACTAACCAGTCTCTGTGGGAAATGCCTGTTCTGGGACAGCATGATGTCATTGTAAGTAAGCACTCATCTCGAGGGGCTGTGCCGCTACTGGGACATTCTGCAGTGGCAGATGCCGTGGTCTTGCGGCTTTCAGATTGCACGTGTGGGAGGGTCTTCTCTACCTTCAGAACTCCTCGCCGAGTCCAGTGCCTGGCTTGGTTCTGGTGAAATGTTCCTCCTTCATGTGCATGTTCTGGTAGTGCTGTTCCAGGTGTGGTGCACTGCTCAAAGAACGCTCAGCCTGGGGGAGCTGTGTTGCATTTTTCTCATCTAAGTCTTAAAAAAAAGCATCGGTCTAGAAGAGATTTATTTATCTTTTTCAGCTTTCTGCAGGGCTGAGTATTGATGTCCTCATTTCCATCCATGTGGGAGCCTGGGGCAGTGAAATGGGAAATTAAGAGAGCTTATTGCCTTAGTTTGGGACTCTGCAGTGGCAGCTGATGAACTAACGTTGTGCTGTTGTTGTTGTTTGGATGCTCATAGTCAGACCCTCTGGGATTGAATGCGGCTCCGATGCCACTGGAAGGTGGGATGATAGACACCTCTGTGGAGAGCAAGCAAAGGAAGAGGAGATTCTCTGAGGAGGTTCCACCGAGCGGCAACAGTGTGAAAAAGCCCAAGGTGGGTCTGGTGCTGTGAAACAAACAGGCTTAAGGATGTTGTTCAAACTGAAACCTAGGGGGTCTGGAGCTTGGACCTGGTTTTTTTTTTTTGAACTGTGCAAGCTCAGGCAACCCTAGTACAACTTGAGCGGTGACAGCGGATGCTCAGAAAGTACAAAAGTGGAAGCAGACTCAAGTCCTGCCAAGTTGCGATTTGTCTCTTACAGCCTGTTGTGGAGTACGGGAGAAGGGAGATAACAGATTATGACTGAGAAACATTCCAGCTTGTGTGTTCACGTTAACTTATGCCAACAGCAGGCAAATGTGCTCTAGCAATTCACGGGGGTACCCCGAGTGGTGCACTGCTGCAGGGTTGTTAGGTGTACCTGTCTCTCTGGGGCAGTAATTCATCTTTTATGCGCCCAGGCGGACGTCCCAGGGAACCCAGCTGCTCAGACTGTCCCCAGCTCTCCCAGTATTCCAGGAACCTCTGTTTTGAAGGCGTGGTGTGTTTCACCTGAAGATAAACAGCAGGCAGCTCTTTTACGACCAACTGAGTGAGTTGTCTCCGTTTGTTTTCTGTTCTTTTCTTGGTGGTAGATTAGGGACACGTGGTTTTCCAGACATCTTTGAAGAAGAACCCTGGGGGACTTAACACTCCCGTCTATCTTTGCAAGGAGTCTTGGTAGTTCCATTTTCCTGGCTGGTGAAACAGCCCGGGGAAGCATCTTTAGAAGTAAGATTTGATAATTAGCCAATGATCTGGCCATCCTGATGACATTTGCTTCTGCCACAGAGTATATTGGGACCTGGATATTCAGACGAACGCGGTGATTAAGCAGAGAGCACCATCTGAAGTACTTTCTCCACACCCTGAGGTGGAGCTGCTTCGATCCCAGCTCATTCTCAAGCTGCGGCAACATTATCGTGAGCTCTGCCAGCAGCGAGAAGGTGAGTTTCTGTTGGGCTGCCCTTATTTGTCTTACCAGTCTTGCAGTACTGTGGGGTTCTTCCTTCTGGTTAACATCTGTCTTGTCCTTGTTTTCTCTTCTTATGATGGTTATACTCTCTGTGACATGGTTGGTTGTGAACTCGTTATGCAGAACTCCAGTGTGATGATCCGTGTCGGAGCTTCTGCGCATCTCTCTGTTGTATTGATTAGACCCTTTTTCTGTGCTTCTCCAGGGATTGACCCCCCAAGGGAGTCCTTTAATCGCTGGATGTTGGAGAGGAAGGTGGTGGATAAAGGGACAGATCCTCTTCTACCGAGTGACTGTGAGCCAGTAGTGTCTCCTTCCATGTTCAGAGAGATCATGAATGACATTCCCATCAGGTACTCTTCAAAGGCAGGGCACCTTCCTGGGATGTTTTTGTATCGGTCTGGTCCAGTGATTTAGCTGCTGCAGTTCTGTGCTTCTGTGTTTTACTTTGGCTGATGAAGGTAGTAGGGTGCTGGTGACGTAAAGCTTGGGAACTGGACCTGGCCTCCATGCCTTTGTGGCAGCTGTGGAACTGATGCGTGTGAATTTAAACTTGCCTCAGGTTATCCAGAATCAAGTTCCGTGAGGAAGCCAAGAGACTGCTGTTCAAGTATGCTGAGGCTGCGAAACGGCTGATTGAATCCAGGTGGGAGTTCCTCTTACCGTGCTGGCAGGTTCAGGGAAGAGAAAAAGGTTATAGGGACTTTTCGACGGGGCTGCTGCGTCCCACCTTATTCGGTGCTGGTCATTGTCTTGCTGAGGAAAAGCAAGGTTAGGAATGTACAGAAGAAAAACAATAGAGCTGCAGGCATCTTTTGATAGAGATGTTACAGTAAGATCTAAGGTTGGGAAGCTGAACGTATGCAGAGGCAAGTGAGAATCTGTGGAATACTGGCCATGGAATGCCTTCTGTCAGTTATCCCCGAGAAAACAAGAGTGCTTGGGCACGCACTATTAAAAGAGCAGCAAGCTTAGAGTGGTATTTTATTATACCATCTATGATTTTTCCGACGAGTTCTGCCACAGGACAGAATTGAGGATGGTAGCCTTGTGGGGAAAATAAAAAGCTTGTCAATGGGATAGTTTTCTCAGTGTCACAAGCTCCTAGCAGTGGCTGCGTTTGGAAATGGGAGGCAAGATCAAAATCGACCATTTCCATGATAGATGAATGCTTTATCTGCCTCTCCCGTTGCAGAGGACAGCAGATAGCTACACGGTGTTTTGGAGGGTCCCTAGTCACACAAATGTCTGGAAGCACTTTCCAGAGGAGGCCTGGAGGGGAGTGACAGGGTAGGGCCTTGAGGAAGTGTCAGCAGCTGCATTCCCTCGCTGACAGAAGACCGTTGTGGTGGGATGGAATATATTGCTGTGCAGCTGTGGGTTGAATTTTGCTGCTCTGTTTTGTGCAGGAGTGCTTCACCAGACAGCAGGAAGGTGGTGAAGTGGAACGTGGAGGACACCTTCAGCTGGCTGCGACGGGACCATTCTGCCTCTAAGGAGGACTACATGGTCAGTATCCCTTTGCTCGTGCAGCTGAGTGCAGGGAGCCTGGGAAAGGATGGGGGGCGTGTTTGGGGCCAGAGAAAGGTCCTCCTGGAGAAGGCTGCGATTGCTTTGCTTTGTGAAAAGGGAGTGACCGCAGCATGGAGGCCCTGCATGCCAGGGAGTCCAGTGGTGGGCTGTGTAAGGGACTCTGGTTCTCTGGTTCTGCAGGACCGCCTGGAGCACTTACGCAAACAGTGTGGGCCCCATGTGTCTGCTGCAGCAAAGGACTCTGTTGAAGGCATCTGCAGTAAGATTTACTACATATCCCTTGAATACGTCAAGCGGATCCGTGAGAAGCATCTTGCTATCCTCAAAGAGAACAATATATCTGGTACGCAATCAGCTCTGAAGAGCTATAGGGCTACAGCACTGCAGCTTAAAGGCAGCACCCTCTGGCCTGTCCCCATTCAAGCAGCATGATCTGTTGGGAGGGCTGCTCTGAATCCCTGGGGTTGAATTTAAAAGAGTCAGAAACAGCCGGTCCAGCATAGGTCTTAGCTGACAGTCACACAGTGCCTGTGCATTGGCAAGGTGTTTTCCATCAGGTACTGTTACCAGCTGTAATATCAAATATCACAAATGTATGATTTGTCAGGATTAAGCAGCTTGTTGGGAGCTGACCACGCTGAACAGGGCATTAGTTCGTTTCCCCGGACCATGCTTTTTTGCTCGGCTTTTTCATGAATTCCTGGGGGCAGCCGACACTCCTTCCTAATGCCCAGTGCTCTTTCCTCCCCATGTTCTCCTTTGCCACATTTCTTGGGTTTTGAGCACCTTCTGCACTCCTCTGCCTCCCAGTGCATCACTGTGCACCCTTCCTCCTTTCCCAGCAGAGGATTCGTGTTCCTTGATCTTTTCTCTGCTCGCTCTTCCTAGTTTATGTCTGTAATTCTGCCTCTAGTCACCTTTTCCTTCCGTGGTCCCCGCTTCTTTCAGCACCACCGTTCTGTAGTCCTTTTCCTCTTTGGGTTGTAGCTCTCCTCAGACTCCCTTCAGATGCCAGCGTCTGCCTTTTGCTGCTTGGTTTTTGCTGCTTGTCTTCCCACCCAATTGAATCCGTGATTCTTTCCGACTGATCTTTTCCCGTGAGCTCTTTTTTCCCTGCTGAAGCTGAGGCTAGGCTGCTGTCCGCAATGGGTAACCACAAGGTGGCAGGAAGATTCCTTTGCCTCCTGCACTTGACAGCCTGGGAACCCTTACTGTGCTTTGGATGAGTTTGGGGCAAATTGAAATAACAGCAGCAGTGACAAGGAAAGTGTTCCACTAGTCTGGGGTGTGCCTCACGATGCTGGAGTGGTTGTGTACGGTCTACGGATCTGCCGTGTTAGAGATGGAGAAGTGCTGTGGAATGGGTCCTCCGCGCTCTGGCAGCGGGTGATGGAATTAATCTGGGGAATCGGCTCTGAACCTAGGTAGCTGCCTACGAGATCTGTGAAGGAGCACCATGGTGGTTTTGGGGTGACCAGTCTGCTCTTCAGTCCTGTTCCTGTCGCTGCATGTTTTGAGGTGGAAGGAAGATCTGTCCCAGACGTCCCTGGATTCTAATGGGCCGCCTTTCTCTTTATTGCCTGCAGCTGAGATAGAAGCTCCTGAAGTCCAGGACAGGCTCGTATACTGTTACCCAGTGAGACTGGCTGTCCCCTCCCCACCACTCCCCAGTGTGGAAATGCACATGGAGAACAATGTGGCATGTGTGCGGTACAAGGGGGAGATGGTGAAAGTGAGCCGCAACTACTTCAGCAAGCTGGTAAGGGCCGACTGCCAGTCCTGCGTGACCTGTCACAAACTGCCGGTTGGTGAGAGGTTTCATTTACCCTTGTCCGCCGAGAGGAGGGGCTGTGCAGAGGGATGGAGGGCTGACCTGGCGGAGGCTGTCAGTAGTGACAGAAATGAGGGCGGCTGCTTCCACCTTCGTCAGGGGCAGGTTTCTGCTGGGAATACTTACAAGGCGCTGCGTGTATGCTTTGGGTACGTACTGTGCTGCAAGAATGGTCGTACTCGCAGCAAGGCAGCCCTTGCTGAGAGGCACCAGCTGAGGTGGAGCACTCATTCACGCTAGTAAAGAGCTTGCGGTTCACTCGCGCGGTAGGAGCAGAAGTGCTGACAAGCAGTGTCTGTCTCCATGTCGTGGCGTGTTTGTGTACTGCCTTATCTTTGCCGGTTCTGTTTGTATTTAACAGCTGGGCTTTCTCTTCCAGTGGCTTCTCTATCGGTACAGTTGCATTGATGACTCTGGCTTTGAAAAGTTTCTGCCCAGGGTTTGGTGCCTTCTCCGTCGATATCAGGTACTGTCTCATCACAGTTGTTGTACATCAGGAAGCCTTGGTCATGTTGGGGAACTGAACTTACTGCCTTTGCTCTGGGGGAGGGTCCACAGCTCTGGGAGCCTGATGCAAAACAGGGCTTAAACTGTGTCCCTTGTCTGCTCCTGGTGTTTTGAGGTAGGACTGCAGTCTGGGGAACAATTGTGATCTCAACAAGAGACCTCAGGAGGGGTAAAGATAAATTTTTATGAAAGAAACCTTCAGTATTCTTGAGTCTGAGGGCCAGCTAAAGGTTCATGGGGGATTGACGGTTGGTTTGTGGGGCCTGAGTTGGATGAAATATCTAAAGAGCGTTCTTGGGTACATGCAGGGGACCTACATGAATTTGAGAAAGGACGAGGGGGCCCTGCATACCTAGAGGAGTGGGTGCATGGACGTGTGGCCCTGGGTCCGTGGTCAGTGAAGGGAGCAGCAGGAACAGCGAGTGCAGGCACGGCTCACCAGGGTTTGCTCTCCTCAGATGATGTTCGGTGTGGGTCTGTACGAAGGAACTGGTCTGCAGGGGGCACTTCCCGTGCACGTCTTCGAAGCCCTCCACAAACTCTTTGGAGTGAGTTTTGAATGCTTTGCCTCGCCCCTGAATTGCTATTTTAAACAGTACTGTTCGGCCTTCTTGGATACAGACGGGTATTTTGGATCCAGGGGGTGAGTCTTACGTTCTGGTGCCCTTGCCGTGTTTCTGTGTGGGTGCGTGCATGTGTGATGGCTCAAGGCAGGCTGACGTGTCTGTGCCTTCAGGATGGTAGCTGGTTGGTCTGCTCAGGAGGATGTGTGCTTTGGGCCTGCCTCAAGGCAATGGCTGGACGCAGAGTGGCTGTGAAACCGTCAGGAGTCTGCCGTTAGTCTAGTTAGAGGGCTCTGGGGTTTTTGGGTCTGCCAGTGCTCACCCTTGTTCTGAAGGATGTGAGACCTGGACCCTCAAGCAGTCAGCTCCAGTCATCAGTCTCCTTCAGTGACCACCGGTGGAGTGTGTCCCCAGCCACCACTCCTGCTGTTAGAAGCGGCAGGCCCTGTCCTGCTGGGGATTCAGGTGTCCTGAGAGTATGACTGCCTTTTCTGGGGGAACGGGTGCTTCTTACGGTGTGAAGATTCGAATTCTGGCCTCTCTGACAGGGATCTTTACCTTTTCCCTCCAGCCCGTGCCTGGATTTCTTCCCTATAAGTGGCTCGTTTGAGGCAAATCCTCCGTTCTGTGAGGAGCTGATGGATGCCATGGTCTCTCACTTTGAGGTATGTTTGCTCACCTGCAGAGCTGTTCCGAGTGGAGCCGTGCAGCCAGCCCTCTTCTCCCCGCTGCTCCTGCACCCTCGCAGCAGGGCTGTAATGCAGAAGGCAAAGGGCAGCGACTGCTGCGGCACTGCTCTAGAAGCAGGGAATGTTCCTTACAGCCGAAACTTTTTATGGTGTGGCTCAGACAGTGCTGAGATTGTTCATTTTCTTGTTGAACTAGAAACTGCTGGAGAACTCCAGTGAGCCTCTCTCCTTCATCGTCTTCATCCCCGAGTGGCGGGCCCCTCCTACACCAGCCCTGACCCGCATGGAGCAGAGCAAGTTCAAGCGGCACCAGCTCATCCTGCCAGCCTTTGATCATGAATACCGCAGCGGGTCTCAGCATATCTGCAAAAAGTAGGCCTTCTTCTTGGGTCCTTCTGGGATTGCGTTTCTGAAGCCATAGGACAGAAATACCCTGTCCCAGGTTGAAATCGGTGGGAAGCAGGGAGCAGGCAAGGAAAAACGCAGTGCATAATCACCCTGGGGTTTTGAGATGGGCATGCAGAGCGGTGTGAATTTCACGTCATTTAATGACTCCTGAGGTGTTTCACTAATAAAAAGTTTGTGAGCGGGGTGTGCCTTGGGCACAAGTCCAGTCAGAGCAAGGTCATAATACACGTGGTGATTGTCTCTGCTCCTCTGCCAGCCCATGCTCTGGTCAGAGGGGAAGCAGAAGCAAGAGGGGCGGGTGGAATCTCGGTCCTCAGCGGAGCAAGCTGGCCGTTGGCCTGCTGTTGAAGCAACAAGTTCCAGCAACAACTTCATTTAAGCAGCAAGTGCTTGAACACTGAGTTCTCCGCACCTGTTTACGATTGATGCTTTACCGTGTTGAGCCTCCTCCTGCAGGGACAGCGATGTCCCGGTGCACGTGCTGGTGGAGAGCTACGTGCCTGTGCACCAGTGCTTCTCCTCTGAAAGTTCGCAAGCCTTTGCCTGTCCTCAGAAATGCCTGACGCTGCCCTCTGCCTGCTCCTTTCCTCGGAATAGCGAGAGGAAAGGGCAGAGACGAGTACTTGTCCTAAAGGTGACGCGTGGGAAGAGGAGGGGCAGGTGCTAGGGAGTGGGAGTGGGCGGCAGTTGTGTGGCTGTGGGCAGGTGGGCCTGGGGAGGTGCTGAGCGCCTCTTGTCTTGCCTTGCAGAGAGGAGATGTACTACAAGGCCGTGCACAACACAGCCGTCCTCTTCCTGCAGAACAGCGCGGGCTTTGCCAAGTGGGAGCCGACACCGGAGCGGCTGCAGGAGCTCGTTGCAGCCTACAAGCATTCAGGCCGGACCCTGAGCTCCTCATCCTCTTCCTCCTCGTCCTCTTCCTCCTCCTCCTCCTCCACAGCAGACAAAGAGCGGGAGCTGGGCCGAGAGCAAAGCAGCAGCCGGGAGACTAATCCCAACTAAGATGCAGAGGTGCGAGGCAGCAGGGGAGGTGCCGGCGGCCCCGAGGAGGCTTGCCAG